GATGGGCTGAATTGCACAAAACGCATGATCGCACCGGCTAGTCTGATGCGCGTTGCTATTTATTTTAATGAATGTTAGTAATTGGGCAAATGAAAAATTTACCAGGTAGTTCTGGGAAAAGTGTTCGCCCTCGTTCGGCTAATTTGACGGCCCAGGAATGGGAAAGATCTGATAATTCTTGAGACCAAATTAGAGGCTGACAACCGTATCGCGCTCTCACAACGTTATGAGCATCCAAGCACTCGCGTTGAAAATTCACTTCGCCTGCAACACTTGCAATAGCTGATAAGCCACTTGTTAGAAGTTGTCACTTTTTCTAGCTCCCAATTAACTGTTGTTGAGGCCTACAGTTTCAGGATGGTGCACAGCTAACTTAAAGTTCTACGGCCCCTGTATAAATATATTACTGTTTATAATGATACCCAATCAGATGCTTTAAGAAATTCAGGTAGCTGTTTCCAGTCTTTGGGACTAGCTATTTCCAGCTAATTTCTTTTGAAAATGCGCATTTGCAATGAAAATAGCAAAGAAGCGCCCACCAACAGCGACAAATTTAGGTCTCTTTTTGACATATTTAACGTCCGCGATAGTCTGCATCATGTGCTTATCCAATTCTTCGTCAAAATGTCGCTCTTCGGCAGCAGACGACGATGTCGCATCGAAGCAGCTGTGGCACTCATCCAGTGTTGTCGAATCACTGGAATTTTTCGAAATTTCTGCATTCAGCGAAAAATTGTGAACCTCCTCCTGTCCTCTCTCCAAGTAGAGCCTATCACGAAGAAACACTGGAGCAAATAAACCTCCTCAAAACATCGCCATCTATATCTAAGACAGTGAAAAATGAAGAAAATTCGGCGCATACACCGAGAATCGCTTGACAGTATGCGTTTTCACATTTCATTAATAATGCAAAGCGCATAAAAGTGTTTCCAAGTGTCCCTCAGTCTGATTTATAACAGCGAATCGAAAAGAGGAAGGAGCTGCAAAGAATCTCACGCGTCTAAGGGATACCGCCACGGAATAGGCTAGACTTCTTAAAATTCACCTGCATTCGATGAATAAAAAGCACAAGTCAAAATACATCAAAACTCTCTCCACAGTTCCCTCGTTTTGAGAGTTGGAAAGGCTAGGAAATAATCTGAGTGCTAGCAGGTATTAGCAGCAGTCACACGTTGGCAAAGCTGTCGATGCTGCTAAACAGGCTGATAAATTTTTACTTCCTGGCACAAGCCATTACCAATTTACTACAGAAACCCAGGCTGGAACGCACCAGGCGAGCCGGAGCGATCATGCGTTTTTGCACAAAACTTGAAT